AGCAGTTCCGGGGCTTAGGCAAACAACACAGACTCGAGCCCATATCCTGTTTTGTTTTTTACTGCCACGCCCGTCAAAACAAAGTATCCGCCAAACCAACACACAATCAGACTGTTTCCCACTACATAATTATCATATTTCCAAGGTAGAATTTTGTTTACCGTTGCCTCCTGATTCTCATGATTCCTTATTTGCTGGGATCGTGTTGAGAAGAGTTCCAGAAGGTGATACCAAGTCAGCAGCGGGCACACACCAACCTTTCACCCCACACACACATACCCACACCCACATGCGTACTGACCTCGTACTTTAGCCCGGGCCGCTCGCAGATCCTTGAACCAAGACAGGCGGATTCGCGAGCCCAGAACGTCCTTACCATTGAACCTGTTCGAGACGTGATCAACTTGCAATCAATGCGTAATCAATCCCGGGAACTTTGCAAAGGCGGTGTGCCACATAAGACATGACAACGTTAAGCTTATTGGGGTGTATATTTTTCTTTTCATTCGCATGTGCAGATGCACTCGGGAACACAAAATACCTACCTGATAACCTGAAAGAGCTAACAAGCTTCTCGGGTAAATATTCAACTTGAGGGTAAATATTTAACTAAAAGGTAAATATTCCACTTTCAACAATAAAGGAGATCTGTCAGGTCCTAAAATTATTGAGTGTTTTCACAACTCGGTGGGTTTTGAAAATTTTTTGGCTACTTGAAGTTGAAAACATTGACTGATACATGTAGATAAAAAATTCGTGTGAAAACGACTCATTTCATTATTACTCCTTTTTTTTTACCTACAATGATCATTGTTGCACTGAGCATATAAAAGCCATGACAATTTTAGCTGTAAACTTAAAATTATGACTGTACTACACCAAGTAGCATAATATAAAACATTTAATTGTACCTTAAGCCTTTGTTCAAATAATCATTCAGAAACCAAGGAGCATATAATTCTTGAGTGCAACGTTCACAACGAAGGTGTTGAAATCACCACTTTTCCATGAATGTCACGTGTAAATCTATTGTATCTATTGACACTACAGATTAACCATAAACAACAGCGAATTTCAGTGCAATTCGAAACAAAATTGTGCAAGCTAAGTAGTTATGGAATTGAATTTATGCCAAATCAAAACAAAGGATTTTTACCTGAAACACCACCCGTGCATGCACCGATCCAGACAAATTACAGCATAAACCAAGCTACCAAAAGCTCAATAACCCTGGTCATATGACTGGAGTGTTGGTTAAACATAAAGCACACTATTGGTGGCAGGTCTCTTCAATGGCAACTTAAAATATTCATCAAGCATTTAATGAATATTTGAGTACCCTCTACATAGCATTTTATTTAAAGCAAAAAATTATCTGCCATGTGAAAACCGACCACTACACGTGCAACTGCATATTTTGCTCATGTCATGTACCTATAACTATAAAATTACAAGAATGCTACAGTTTGGTAAAAATATAAGTGAGACAATGTACTGTGCAAGAAGGCTCAAGGGTGGTGTAGGCATGTACATCATACATGTGCAGAAATCAACAAAAACAACAACAAAAACATCATTCCTCAAGATGAAAAAAAAAAGATAATATCAACTAGTGTACAGAATTTTAGGATCAAAAGAGCAATTTGAAAGAGGTTTTCACTTTGAAAACATAGCCATTGAAAACAATTTACACACATGTATTATAATGACATAAAAATTATTCAAGCTTTTCACATTAAGTTCTACAATTATTGTAATATAATATGATAAATACATCTATATACACCAGAAGGTTTAAACCTCCTTGGTATACAGATCATGTTTCTTACTTGTTGAAGATTTCCTTGGCAATGTCTCTCCTCTGGAAGCGAAGGGCCACAAACAGGACTTCTTTGTTGTCAGACTGCTTGAAGAAGTCATAGGAGCATTTTCCACCATGCTTTGTAAAGAAGTCTCTAGAAATTAAAAAAAAACACAAAACCATTCATACAAGTGTGATTCAAGACTCTACTTATTACTAAGGTTTGTAACATTAGAACATTTTGCATGGTAAAAAGTGCCACTACTTTTAAATTGTACAGTTGAATTTTAATTTACCATCATGATAACCTGCATACTGACATCATCAACCACACAGCAATGAAAAAAGTGTTCGTAGTTTCTTTGAGAGCATTTGGAGTTGACTAATTTTGACATGCATTGGGACAACTGTAGATTATTCATCACCCATGTCGTATATTATGTAGAATATAATGACTTTGTATAAAGAACATACATTCGTGCAAACATTCTTGATTGGAAACCTAATTACTCCACATGTCCTCATTCCCACACATATATAATAAAGCAGCCACGTGGTAAATAAAGTAACTGACTTGAAATCAACATCAGGGAATACTACATAGTTTTGTGGTGGCTTTTATTTTGCAGAACAGGGATTTGCATTTGAAGCAAGTCTGTTGTATGGCAATGGCAATCATACAAGGGAGACATGTTTGCAACTTGTCATGAATTCACGGTGCAGAGACCAAGAAAATAAAACCACTGTGAAAGTTTCAGGATTTACAGTAACAACTTATTACATCTAATTGTAAAATATAGACATCAATAATGCAGTAGCCCAACTGCAAAATTGAACTACACGTTTATCAGAAATGCTACATGCAATTACAAATAATATCTTTAAAGTTGTTTTGTTTGGGTTAGGAAATGTCATTCCTGCAAATTGCATGTTGCATGTGGGTGCTTATTGAGAAATGAATTATTGATTATGTCTCTGTAATTCCACCTCAGCTCATTAATATCAAATTAATGTACATTCCATCATGAAGCTAACAACAGGTGGAAAGACCAACATATATACACAGACGACATTTATATTGTTCGAACTAGAGCTGGTAAAAAAGTCTGACCATGTGAACTAGAAAGTAGCAATCCAAGGTCAGGGCTCGAAATACTGGGTGCATGGTGCACCTTAGTGCACCCAAATATTTTATGTGGGTGCATCAATGCACCCAAATATTTTTGTGGGTTTATTTATGTAACAATGTTAAAAGTATATTATAATATACACAAAGTGTTAGATAGACAATAAAATCATTGTTATAGTACTTTTTAGTACATAGTTAGTTTTTGCTGACATTCATCTTATATGGTGCACCCCAAAGAATTTTTGGGCACCCAGTTTTTCAGGTTGGGTGCACTTATTCCCAAAAATAAATTTGCATTCACATTTGCATAATGATGTCAACCCACTTGAGATCATTATTACAGATCCACAACTATTGTAATTCGCCATTTTTCTTTGAAAAAATTCTCATACACCAGGACTACTCCCCCCCCAAACAAATATATGGTCACATGCAGTTCAAGGGAAAGTCAATTGGTGGTGTCTTTTACTTAGTTTTAGCTAACAGATTTGTGATTACATTGTATATGGACAGATATTCAATTGGACACATGCATCAATTTTCCCAGTTAAATCCAAATTAGAGATAAAAAAATAAGGAAATGTCGTTATGATACTTCTTGGAACTATTCCCTTTGTGTCTGTTTCTACAGTGCAGTTTCTGTATATTTTCTGTCCGAGGAAGTTCTCTCTCTGAGGGCCATCTCTGGTTAAAATGATTTTTCACCGACAAAAAAATTGTATTGTGTAATGGTGAAAAAATAGGATCATAAATTCAACATGTCAAACATAAACAGTATACAATATTAAAAAGGATGTTATTTTAAAAAGACCTCATAACATACTTCTCCGGACCAAGGAGCTTTAAATTTGCTTTTTAACCTCCTTGACCAGATTTAACTCATAAATTGATAAAAGATACAGGGTACTCATTACAATGTATTGAAGGCACAGTGCATCTACCACAGTACCAGTGGACTAGCCCCCTGCTGTATTGATTGCACTACTGTGTGACCCAAGGGCTGTTGAACTTGAGATGTACTTTTTTTTCAAAGAATTTGCATGTACAAATGATATAAATAAACAAAAACAATGTTCATTCATATAGCCAATATGTGATTGCATTGTGCTTATCTACCATTTATGCTGAAAATTTTACTTAGTCAAGTTAGTGTAGTGTTCCTTTATATTATGCATCCTATCCCCTGCTACCCCCCTCCAAACCATACTAGTATGTAAACAACTTCTGAAACAAAACAAACACAACAAACAAACAACAAACCTGAATTCTTCATTTGGGTCTTTAAGCTGTTATCGACCACCAGTTCAATATGCGATCATGTGAAATGATGATTTATGAGACAAATTTTCTTTCCTGCCACCAAAATGCGGAACTAACAACAAACACAAAGAACAGACTTCCCGTTTCCCGCCAGATGCAAACATGGGACAGCTCGGCTGCATCCTGAGATATAACATCCCCTCAAAATCGTCTGCGACAGTGTAGGGATGTGTCAAAACGTTAATTGAGTCACAAATTTTCCAGCTAGTTTGTGCCTAAAGAAATTAATATGGACGAACGGACGCACGAAAATATTATTATGAAGTCAATGAGATGGACACCCACCCAGCGTGACAGCAAAATTTGGCGCGCGTTTTGTTTACAAACAAGAGAGCGACGCCACCCCAAAAACAAGCCAGCACTGACAGAACACTTCTCTGGGAATATTCTGAGGTAACTCACATGATTTCGTCCTTGTCCGTGCCTCCCCGGAGCCCCCTGATGAAGAGTGTATGTTGGCTGGCCGGGACGTAAACTCCCTTCAGACCAAGACCCGCCATTTCTTTCCAGTCGTCTGACCTGTTCCGGGGCGCAGGCGCAAGCAATGAGGCTCCTCCAGAGGGTTTACAGTATCCAGATATAGTAGAATAATCTAAAAACCTTTTGATAATTTGAACTTTAAAACTTTAAAATCTACCTCACGCTTAATTTACGTGGTAATGATGATGAAGATGTTGGTATATCTGCTTGTAAACGGAGATAATCGTATTGAAAGCGGCGCCAGTGAATACTCTATAAGAGACACACATTTCGGGTCACGGAGAGGTCATCAGCTGGAAACCCGGAAGTGTTGGAACAGGGGCTCCGATCACATGGTTAGTGCCTTTATAAGTTATCATAAGTAACGGGAGCTTGACCTATTGTAGTTAATATTAACTTGACAAATTATACCAGTATCATACGTAGGCATATAATCGATACAGCAGGGCTATGTAACCTCGGGATTTACCTTTTTAGTTACCTTGACGTTACAGTGTACAATATTCAATAAACATGATTATCATGTTTATAAAACTAGTAAATTATTTTCAACGTAATGTTTACAGCCCTGGGTCCTTACTCGCATTTCAAAGCAGCGTTCATGATGCTTGTTTTAGCAGCTTCACACACACAGTCGTTAGTGTATGATAGTCTTGGATTAATCCTCCCATTGTTTTCGGCCATGCAATTAACACCTTCTGATAAAACCCTGGGACAATGGATCTGGTTTCAGAGATAATTTTTATTCATGAAAAAAAAGTCTGAAGTATGTTCAGCTTGGTAATTGTACATTCACTACAGCTTAAAAATAGTTTAGAAAGAATATATATCATGTAAGTTGTGGAATTGTTTCTGTGTCCCAAATCATTATAAACGTATTTAATTAGGTCAGTCTTATTTCAATTAGTATACCTTAATTGGCTGACATTGTTATTAAGAAATAGAAAAAGTTGTTAGCAAATGTGTATTAAATGTGTATTAATTGTGATCAAAACATGGTGTATTGTGATCACAGTGAAAATAATAATCCAATCAGTCACTGAATCATACATGTGTTTTTTTATTGAATATTAATTCTTCTTCCACCATTCCAGCCATTAGATCGTCCACCATGAGTACAGAAGCTCTCCCCCCTCTGGAGTCAGGAAAGTTTATAGCAGAAAACAGTCAGGATGTGAAGGTGTTACAGGAAGGAGTAAAGAAGGCGGCCAATGTGGTAATAATTTTATCGTTGTATTATGGCATTATCTACACAAGAATATATGCACAGAATTTAGTCCTTATTCATCAATGTTCGACTTCTATATGCAATGTCCTTGATCGATATTTGCAAGTTTAAATTTAAAACTTTCCTTCCACCACAAGCGATAATGATTGTTCTCCTAGAGCTAAATTCAACCAGTCACTCTCGTCTTCTTCAATAGACTTACGTGATGCGGGCCGACATCGTTTACCAGAATATCTTGAAAACACTGCAAGAATGTAAGAGATTATATGAGGGAATAGAATCAGAATCACCCAACTTTCATTTTTGGAGCTTAGAGAATATTCTGGTACATTTAAGATCAAAAGATAGTAGTGTACTTCATTTATCTTGATTGATTGAATTTTTGTTTCAGATTTTTGAGAGCCTGAGGAAAGGAGAGTTCTCTGTTGAACTGTGGAAGGGAGCAGGAGCTACAGACGGGCATGAACTCAACCCAAAAGTTATGGATGAGAAGGCAGTGGACTGGTAAGTTCAGAAGGCATGCATAATTTCATTGTCAAAGGATTTTCAACAAATAAGAGACTTCCAAGAATTATTTATTTTGTGAATGTATAAATGGAGCATACTGTAGTTCCTGATTTTTTTTTTCACGGTACTTTTATGTTCACTGTATTCACTGTCATGTCTGTACCGTGAACTTATTATTACATTGAACAATTAAATTCCTCTACTTTCTTTTTCCTGCACCTGTCACCACAGTGAATATATAGTTCCGTGAACATGTCCACTTTTCTCAGACTGTGAAATTTTGCTACCGTGAACATAAAGGGAATTACATTGTGTGATTGTGGGGAAAAATCCAATTGAATTAGATCATAGAATGTATTATAGCCCATATGTGCTGTATGACATAACTTATCCCCATATTACATGATCATGGTTTATGTTTCATACCATGATTACACATTACACATTTCTATCATGAAGCAATTTCAAACTGTAATTTCCAACACAAGAAATCAGACCTACCCAAACAGTTGAGTTTAAAACTCATTACAAGTTAATTCAAGCAAATACTTTGTTGTCTTTTCCAGGATTTTTCTGGTGGACACCCTGAACTTTTCCTTCTGGAGTGAAGATGAAGGCAAGAAGTACAAAGTCACCTACAAAGGACAAACCTACACAGGGTACTGGTCACTATGTGCTGCTGTCAACAGGGCCATGGAGGTCAGTGTACTGCATGAGCTTTTTTTAATGAAGAATTACCACATTTGTGGAAGGATTGACAAACATGTAGTACAAATGTACTAACTATCATCTCTTCAAGATGTAAGACCAGACTCTCAGGTTTGAACCACTCACACCAGGAATGTATGACCTGAAAAACTCATGCATGTACTTTCCAAGAACTATCGTAGAGTGGGATTTGGGGCACAGTTGGGGCATCATCACTAAGAAAGCTTTAAACAACTCCTCCAAATAGGTAGGAATCCTTCCATCACGAAAGATGATGGTAACACTCTAGGTCCGTGGTCCTCCAAATAAATGTGTGAAGATTGGGTGTAACATGTCATTCGGTGTAATAGAGCTAGCTACTGCCATACTACGTGATACTGCATGCCTGTGAAGCTGGTGTGTTATGCCAAAGGGCGATTATACTGGCTATTCCAGTACGGATACAGACACCTGCTCTTAGACTTTTCAATCTTCGAACTTCCCCTCAACAGAAACCCCTGGACCAACTGGCAATTGCTAATCTATACTTAATTTGAGATGACTTTGACTTTATCTTCCAGGAGGGAGTGCCAATAACCAACCCAGGGTACTATGCAGGTATGACCCTACAGGAGCTGGCCTATCTCCTCAGGTCCGACTCAGATGTAGACATGCCCATGTTACAGGACAGGGTCAATAATCTCCAAGAGGCAGGCAAGGTGCTTAAGGAGGTAAGCTAAGAAAAAAGAGAATTTTTTTCCTCCCTACGTGAAATATAACAAGAGGAGGGAAAATGATATCATGTTAGCTGAATGTACTCATCATCATAGCTTTTCTTTTACATATCAAACATGTAATCACAAAACGTGGTGACCTCACACTCAAATTTTTCCAACATATTTACCTTCGCCAAGAAGGTTATGTTTTCAGGGGCGTTCGTGTATGTGTGTGTGTGTGTGTGTGTCTGTCTGTCTGTCTGTCAACACGATAACTTGAGAAGGCCTTGATGGATTGTCTTGATACTTGGTAGATGGGTAGGTCTTGATGAGACCTCAAAATGATTAGATTTTGGACCCCCTAGCGGCTTGTTATGGTACTGCAGCTGAACTTCCTGTTTTGATATCTCAAGATCCAGACATGCTATGGTGATGAAATTTAGATGGCAGATAGCTCTTGTGCTGGGGAAGAAGTGACGTGAGTTTAGGTCCCCTAGCGGCTTGCTCTAGAACTGCAGGGGGGTTTAAAGGACAAATGTTTAAAAGAGGATAACTCAAGAACCGATTGATGGATCATCGTGATTTTTGGTATGTAGGTAGCTTAAGTGATGCTTGACATAATGATATTACAATTATGCGAATATTGATGTAATTTGCATAATTAATGAGGAAATTCTATAAATCAGCTGCATTCCATGATAGGAAGTTCAAGCTTGTAACATATGTTATTAAGAACGAGAGAAACACAGGCAAATATTGATTATGCAAATGAAGACTTAATTTGCATAATTAATGAGAAAATGTTATAATTGCGTAGTGGTAACTGCCTGGAATTTCATACTTGGGGTGTTTGAAAGTTAAGTGAAGGTGAACATAATTAAACATAACTTATTCAAATAAGGACCACATTTGCATAATTTATGAGAAAATGGCATTCTTTGTTAAGATAAGACTGTCTTTTGGTGGAGAATATGATCAACAGACTGATATAATTCATGCAATTGAGGATCCTATTTGCATAATCAGGGTGATTAGTATATTTCTTATTCATAAAGGCTAACATCATTTGGCGAAGGTATGAGATCGTGGAACTCTAGTTTAATGCTGCCACCAAGACAGAGGACAATACAGTACAAATGTACTCATTTTCACCTGAGCAAAGTGAGAAAAGTTGTGTAAATTGCCTTTTCCCAAGGGCATAAGATTGGTGGCATTATAGGGTTCCAACCCAGGACCTCTTGGTTCTGGGACAAACACTCTTACTGTTATATGCCACACAACCTCACCTCACATCATAACTTGTCACAATGGCTCTCAAGCCAGTTCCATGTACAAATGTACTCCCAAACCTACTACTAGTAACTACCTGAATCTTTGTTCCAGAAATTTGATGGGAGTTTCGTCAACTGTATCAAGAAGTGTGGAGGCAGCGCACAGAAACTCTTGTCTCTGGTGGTCTCCAACTTCTCTTCATACCGAGATGAGGCAGTGTACAAGGACAAAACAGGTACTACACACATTGTTCTTTTTTCTGCAACCCTCAGTGGCTTTAATTTACAAGATCATTCACAGGTTGGTTGGGAGCAAAGTTAACTCAAATTCAACTGGATTTGTATAGATAGATAGGCTCTGCTTAAATCTTGTCAAACTGCTCCAGACCTTCAGCCAATCTTGGTTTCCTTTCCCAAAGCCATGGTACAACATCAGGGCATACTTGTGGATATGAATCCAGGATCTATGGGTTCTGAGCCAAATACCTAACAATAATATCACACAATCCCCCGGCCCCTAAGTCTCTGTATTACAGGGATGATATTCTGTTCTTCTGTTGTTACAGTTGCCATCTACAAGCGAGCACAGATCCTCATTGCTGACATCTGGTCGTGTTTTGAAGGCCAAGGTTACGGCTCATTTGATGACATCAGCTCCATCACAATGTTTGCTGACTACAGGTACAATGTACATGGAAATTTCATTACATGTATGTCATACCTGGGCCTTTAGAACATTCGATATCGCTGTTACAGCTAGTGATAACCTTGTCGTATCGCACAGGATCCTAACGGTTATCACACAGGCTTAAAAATGTTCCATAGAATAATTTGAAAGCATTTATGTTTTTTATCTGTTGCGTCTGGTTGCTAGGGTAACTTTGTCCAGGTGCATTAGTACATGTAATAGTGAATAGACTTCTTGTCCTGCATGTATGAGAAAGCTGAAAATGTGTTTCACGCACATCACCTACATTGTGTGTTGTTTTTAATCTAAATACAGGGTACCTCAGGCTCTGCTGTACTTCGATGCCCTTGAATACAGCCAAGCTTTGCTGGACAAGCTCAACAACAGTGAGTTACTATGTATACATCAAAATATTTCTAAGAGTGGTGGACAGAAAGACATTGTTACCTCCAGGAAAAATGGAGGTATGTTTGGGTTAGCCTGTGTTTACACAAGATCTCACTGCCTGGGGTTAATTCAATAATTGAACCCTTTTGACAGGCGGCTACTGTTGTGATTTTGATATAGGTTGGTAGGTCTTGGAATGAAGGTCAAGTTTGACTTTGAGCCTCCTGGCTGCTGTCCTTGGTACTGCAGCAGAACGCCTTTTGTCCTGTACAAACTATGTTTTTTGTGGCAGATGTAGCCTTTGATGTCTGGAAAAATGGGTGTAGGTTTGGTCCCTTTAAAAGGTTGTTCTAGAGGGCAAGCATAATCAGTCCATGACAACCTAACTCATTCTCTCACTCACTCCTTTCCAGACCACATGTTCACATCAGGTGAGAGAGAGGAGGTGGAGATCAGGGGGTGTTCCATCTGGGCTGTCAAGGTCAGTACAGGTCAAAGTGCAAATCCACATAAAAATACTGAGCTCATATAAATACCATCAGCAATTACTAGTAATTACTTTTCCTCAGTCTCCTGGGTGGTCGTCTTAAACAAGTTTGACTTTATATGAATCTGTTGCAACTAAATGACTTGTGGCACAAACTGCTTCAAACAGTTCATTCAAAAATGTTTTATTCTACAATAAATGTAAGTGACAAAATTACAAGCATTACATTTAGAAAGATTTATAGTAAATGTACTGTCAAGCAAGACATGTAGTTTTGCAAACAGTGATATTCAGACTATTGCAAGAGCAATAATCTATTATTATAACCAAATTTTCCACGATTTCTGATGAATGTTCATTTTGGTCCATGTTGCATCAGAATTTTGCCCATTACAGATATCTTTCTTGATACAACTTTTGAAAACCATAGATGGGTTGTCATCCCTACATACACAAGCATGACCTTAAACAAGACATTCTACCGTAGTGCTATGCACAATACATGCCAGCTTTAGGGAGGACACAACTTATGTTCTGCTGAAAATAAACTTTTTCCCATTGATTCCCCATATTAACTAGTCTTGATCCCTCCTAGTTCTGATGCACCCTGACTGGTATAGTCCACCAGCACGTTACCCATGTGGTCATTCAGGGTCTTGAACTTCCTCTTACGATTCCCAACCTACATGGAAAAAACAAACATTATTAACATGTGGAGAATCAGATGCACCCAAGTATACTCCAATGGTACCAATTCTACATCACACAGTCCAACTGCACTTTGCTGCTATACATGTACATGTGTGTCCCTTGTTTTGAAACATATGGCTAGAAATTGGTTATCTATTTCTAATGCAAAATAATTTCATGTACATGTGTGTCCCTTGTTTTGAAACATATGGCTAGAAATTTCTAATGCAAAATAGACACGACCAATTTGTATGACAAGCTGAAGCATTGTTTCACATCATGGAATACATTTACATCCTCAAGAGAACAAAAGCAAAATGGCAAATGTGTATACGTAGCATACTGTAATAAAGAAAATATGGTAATCATGCTAAATAATGTACAATATTTAGGGCAATAAAGTAGCATGTTTTGGGGCTATTTCAAATGCTCTAAGTATGAAATACGGAAAATGTGCTAAGAAATAGCAAGTAATTGTCAATATCAGATTTCCTCATCCAGAATACTAGTATTCTTTTGTTTTGCCACCCTGAAATTGCATTGGAGGCCTTTAATTTAATGGTACTTTTACAACAGTAGTATACCTTTTTCCTCTTCTGTACTGGTGCTATTTTCTTCCCTGTGTCCTGTACAAAGCTGATGCCTTGTCTGTTCAGGTATTCTTCAATCTTTTTCTCATCCATGGAGTCCACTGCTACAGACCGCCACAGCTTCTGGATTTCTGTGGGAAAATTGTTAAATATGTATATTAATAACATTTCTACAGTTTACTACTTTAAGTAAATTTAGCAACATTCTTTATCTTTCACAAAGTGAAACAAGAAGATATTTTCATACAACAATGAAATATTTAAAGTTTTATTATTGTTCCTTTGTTTACACGTTACATGTACATGTACTTAACTAGTTATCCATTCTTTAAAGTTAGTTGTGTATCCTTAGTTGTGCTTACCTTCATCTACTGTGAGCTGGCAGTCTTTGTCATTGTAGAAGAGTACTTTCTTCTTGTCTATTGGTCGAGTGATGGTCAGGACACGATCTCCTAATGCCTGTCAAGGATACATTTGTATATGTATATTGATGAGCATAAATTTAAATAGATTTGAAAATATAATGTAAATTTTACAGTCAAACCATGAAATAACAGAAACAAGTTGAAAACAAAAAATTCACTCGATAATTTTGGACTGAAGTAAATATGTTATTTTTGTATGATACTTGTAAATTAGTTGTAGTTAATATACAAAAGTACAATTATGTATGTACAGTATACTTGGAAAAATGACTATAAATGAGAACCTTTTTTTAAGTAAAGAGACTTTCTTAGGAGGTATAGAACTTCACGTCGTCAAGATGATGAGTTTTGTAAATAATAAAAAGAAAACCTTTTTCACACCTTAATTGCTTTCTCTGACTTTGGCAAGCCTTCCTGCACATCTTCTAGTAGAATTCCTCCAAGTCCATTTTGGTCGTGCTTATCCAGTAGTCTCAGAAGGGCCTTCTTGTCCTTCAAGTTGTACTTGGGTTTGAAGACGAACCGTCCGTCTGGGAGAGTCTGTATCTTGTGGTTATTTGGCAGGGCTTCTGTCCCCAGCCAGTTTTTAGTCGCAGTCGTCACGGTCAGTTGTTTGGTTTCGTCAAGAATTTCTTCCAACGAAAGCGGGTGCGTAAACCCTTGTTGGTGTCGAGTTTTCATGTAGTTTATGATCTTGGCCAAGACGCTGAACTTGTATTGAGACGTCCCCGGCGCCGTTTTGTAGTCAAAACTACTGGATTTTTTAGGTTTGTTGGAAGAAATGGCTGAAAAGGTACCTGATGGCTTCGCCTTCTTCGCGGGTTTTCTCGAGGTAAAGTCGTCAGGTTTGGGCTTGCGTTTCTCGACCGCTGGCGTGGCCAGAGCCCGCTTTTTGAAGGCCTCGCGTTCCCGGAGTAGTGCTGGATCCATCGTGTGTGTTTTGAGTCCAACAGATGACGAATTTCAATGAATTTTAGACATTTCTTGAGCACAAAGACTTACCCGCAACTTTCCTCTCGGCTTCGAAAGTAAGAACTGAAATTTTGTTAGTGCGCGTGCGTACACGCCCTTTCGACGATTACATTTTTCCAAAGGATGGTTTTAAATATCGTGTAAAGAAAAAAACTGACGAATGAATAAAAGTTTTCAATAAAAAGATATAATATCAAGAAGACAAAATATTTAGAAGTCAAATTTGAAGTTTTTTATGTAAGATTTATTGTTTTATTAGGATTTTTTATAGTAAAACAAATCTAAATCCCTCTAAAGTTGAAATGAAACATCCGCTGATAAAAAATTCCAAGATGGCTGCCAAAGTATGGAAAATGTAGAAATTTTGTGGTTTTCTCATCTTTTTTGAGCTAAACTACGATAATGGAAGGTAACGCCATGGTGAAAGAGGAGGATTTAGAGAAGGCGGAGGTGGACGCCATTTCCACGGCGGCTAAACACGTCGCTAACATGCTGCAGAGGCCGGACCAGTTGGAGAGAGTGGAGCAGTATCGCCGGAGGGTGGCCAGGAAGAAGGCTTCCGTGGAGGCACGACTGAAAACTGCGGTCCAGTCTCAGCTGGACGGCGTGAAAACCGGCTTGGGGCAGCTCGGGACGGCGCTACAGGACGTGCAGGAGGTAATAAAAGAGATGATGGGCATAATAACTGCATTTCAGTTTTTATACTGTAGTATGTGTCACTGCAAATCCAGATCAAAATGACATCAAAACGATAGATCATAGAGTAGGTCAAAGGGCAAAAATTTAAGCATCTTCTTCCAAGGAGGTTTATTCATAGCCTGTGAATTATCTGCACTCACACTCAACGCTTATCAGAAATAACAATGAGGCGAGGTGGGCTTGGTACGTTTAATGTTTTAAAAAACATGAGAATTCACCAAGACCAAGCCCGGAGGGAAGGAGAGGGGCGATGAGGGGGAGAGTGCAGTAACTGTAGTAGAGGGGCGTAGCTAGTAAAATACTACTGGGACTGTACGAAAGTGATACAAAAGTGATACAAAAGCGATACAAAAGCGATATAAAAGCGATAACTCGAGTAGGTGAGCTCCCACTACCCCGCTACGCTACATGTGATGACAATAGACAGATGACCTCTGGGTCAAGTGAGGTCAGGGGTCGTATTCCGTGCATCTAATTAATTTCTTTGATCTGTCGCCCAAATAACTACTATACACAAGCTCTCGGCTGGAGGTTAATGACCCCCACCCCAAGGGGCAACCTAGGGCGGCGGCCGCCAGGAGCGCGATTTAGTCAGGCTAGTTTATTCATACCAGACTTCGAAGTTGATAACAGATTTAAGCATAGCATGTCACTGTCATGATACAAATTCTATAATATTGCAAGAAGAGCTGATTTATAAAGTATGGTCTCCAAAACAATAATTCTGACTCCACCCATTTCCTTCACTTGTCGTTTACAGGATAGACATTTTATGTAACTTAAGGGCACAGATTCCGTACGATTTCATTGACACGAAGTAAATAATCATGAGCACTATTTGTGCATATGATAATATCATGTGTTTTTCATCAACTGTATCAGATTTTCAGTTTAAACCACAGTGCAAACAGTTGACTGCTGAGTATGCTGCCTTTTCTGTCAAAAATTTGTTTTTTATGTGAAATCACAAAGAAATGCAATCACTCATAGTTCTTATCTCCTTATAACTTTTTCACATTTCTTTCCCTCAGGTTCAAAAGCAGTTGAACGAAGTTGAAGAGACGTACAAGAAGTGCCACGAGCTGAACGAGAAGCTGAAGGAAGTGAAGGCAGTCGGAGCTCGGCACAGCCAGCTGGCCTCCGCCGTGGAGAACCTCAAACACATCTTCACCGTACCAGAAACAGTGGAGGAAACCCAACAGTTGATCAACGAGAACAAGTTGTTGAGAGCTCACAAGCTCCTGACGGACTTGGAGACCTCGCGAGATGACCTCCTTCACGAGATGCACAAGCTGCCCTCTCCCAGCCCTACGGATAATGCACTACTGAGGCATTATTTCGCAGACGTTGGGAAACTGTCGGATTCCATGGCCAAACAGCTTTGGTACAGCATCTCCCGCGCCCTGAGCATGGTACGGAAGGATCCCACCATGTTGGTCACGGCACTGCGAATCATAGAACGAGAGGAACGGACAGACAAAGAGATGTTGCAGCGACAAAAAATCACAGGCTTCCTCCCACCAGGGAGACCCAAGAAGTGGAGAGAGACTTGCTTCAAGACCTTAGAGGTGTCCGTTGCGACCAGAATTGAAGGCCATCTGCCGGAAACAAGGGACCTGAACAAGATGTGGCTGGTGCGTCACTTGGAGATCACCCGCAAGTACGTCTTAGAAGATCTGAAGGTGGTGAAGGTGATGTTTCAGCAGTGCTTCCCGCCCGACTACAACATATTCCAGCGTATGGTGAGCATGTACCACAACGCCCTGTCGGTGCACCTTCAGGAACTGATCTCGGACGAACTGGAGTCCAACGAGATCATCTCCCTCCTGATGTGGTACAACGCGTACGAGTCGGAGGAGCTGATGGGCAACCACGAGCTGGAGATCGACACATCGCAGCTCACACCGCTGCTGACGGAGGAGACCACGGCCAAGCTCCAGCAGCAGTACCTGAAGACCCTGTACAAGAACGTCACGAGCTGGACCACCAACACCCTGAACAAGGACGTCAACGACTGGCAGCAGGACACCGAGCCGGAAGCGGACGGTGACGGGTACTACCTCACCCAGCTCCCGGTCATCGTGTTCCAGATCATCTGGGAACACTTGGAAGTGGCGGCACTGGTCAGCCCCCGTCTGAAGTTACGAGTGGTGGACCTGCTTCTCGAGTGCGTACTGCGCTTCACCGAGCAGTACCAGGAGGCCATCACCACATACAAGACGACGCATTTCGAAGATCGCAGCGGTTCACTCTTCTTCACTGCCTACATGATCGCCATCATCAACAACTGCCTCGCCTTCAAGGAGTACACTCAGCAGCTGAAGACGAAGCACCTCGCCTCGGATGAAAATCAGTCACGCGAGTCCAAAATCCAGGCCGTCATCGAGCAGTTCACCGGTATCGGCAAGCGAAGCTGCCACTATCTCTTAGATGAGGTCTTCACCGACTTGGAGCCTCATCTTAAAGGGCTGGTGACGCGCCAGTGGGTGACCAGCGACACCGCCGTGGACACCATCTGCGTGACCGTGGAGGACTACTGCCGCGACTACGTCCACCTCAAGCAGCACTTCTTCGTGGAGCTGATGGTGGAGGCCGAGAAGCGAGTCACGGTCGAGTACATCATGGCGATGATCGGGCGCCGGATTTCCTTCAAGAATTACGAGGACAGGAAGGCTTGCGCGGAGAAGGTGCAGAAGGAGGCCGCCCAGCTGATCCAGCTGTTTTCCAAACTGGCGCCGAGCCAGGAGAAGTCCCCCTGCGAGGTCCTCAAGGTCATGGCAGAGGTCATCAAGCTGCAGGACACGGCCTTCCTGTCCTTGGAACTGTCCGGTCTGGTCAAGGACTACCCGGATATCCAGCCGGAGCACATCCAGGCCCTGCTGGCCCTCAGGGGAGACGTCAGCAGGTCCGAGGCGAGACAGCTCGCGAACGAAGTCCTCGGGGACGAGGCGGAAAGAGCCAAGAAACCCGCGCCTCCCCCCGGTGGCATGTTCGCACAGATCACCATGCAGCCAACCATGCCACTCATCAGGAAAAACTGAAGCACATTGGTTGTGAAATACAATTGTTGGAGTCAGTCACATGTATCATTGTGGTACAGTACCAAAGCCATTAACAGGAAAATATGCTCCTTTACCATTAGACTGCAAAGAAACGGATTGCACCTTTAGACTGCATAGCACACTATGCTGTTACTGTTTACTGATACATGTGGTATAGTATAGGCCTGATATGTATGCCAACCTGTCTTCAATAGTGTCTAAATTTGAGATTTTAGGATTTTCTTTGCTTTAAGATATTGGCTGGAGTCCTAGATGTTGTAGAGAAATAAACAAAAAATTATGTCACTTTACAGTAATATGTATTTGTGTCAGACAGAAGAATGGTAATTGTACATTGAGGCAATAGGGTGATGAATATACATAATATGCTATAACATTGTGTTGATTAGTTGAAAAATTAATGGAAATTATTTGTATTATGGTTTAAAGACATAATGTTGAATATTATGCAATTGAACACCATTAAATAACGAATGCTCAAAGTAATCATGTTGCATTTTTAGTGCTGGGTATATCAGCAAGTTACAGCTCTTGTAATCAAAACAATTTCATTACTGTATATATATATTTAGGCTGTGGTACATTAAATTGAATGATGCTCAACATCTTCAGCTTCTGTCCCAACATTTTTTCTTCTATACTGCTGGTAACTGTAACTAGCATCAATATAAGCTATGAATCATAGTATGATGATTATGAACTTGGCAATAGACATAAATCATCTTGGCATTAGCTACATGCACTAGTAGTAGTACATTCGTTAAGTAAGTGCTTTACATTATATTTCTACATCTTGAAGAGCACTTCTTGATTGACACAAAAGGATTGGAATACGCCATATTATGTATTACTACCAGGTACAGCCTGTCTTAGGTGGCAACATGCTGGACAGTGTTAGCACCAGTAGAGATTAACACCAGTTAAGTGTTGAGGGTCCAATCTTTGCCGGTAGCATGGCATAACACATAACATGTAATTCTTTCCACATGTATCAAGTATTTCAAAATCATTCCATGTATGGAAGTACTGTTTTGGGTTAGTGGGTGGTTGTGGGTTTGCGTGTATGTGTTTGACTGTCTGGATATAATAATTAGATTCGATAGCACATGGCTAGGTTGACAGGCAAGATGACAGGTCAGAAGGTCAGACACAGGAAATGGGGTGAACTTGCAGGTCACAGAATCTGGACTGGAGCCAGCAGGAATTAGAGGTCAACATGAGGCTGTGGGGAACTTGGGAAGTCCAGCATTAGCCAACCCTCATCCCACACAGTTTCCATCTTAGTCCCGATAACCTCATCCAATCACCTCAGCTTACTAGTAAATGTACACGAAAACTCAAAATACTTTCCGGAACTCTGGAATCTCATGTTTTTCTTTGCAGCTGATTGAGGACGAGATTTCACGCATGGTGGCAGCTGACCCGGCGGCTAAGAACGTGATGGTAAACGCCATCTTGGTGGACAACTACCTGTGGGACCTGAGACGTGCCCAAAGGTCAGACATGGACAAACTGCCCTTCCACAGGATAAGGACCATCTACTACTGATAGACTGGAAGATCTACCACTGGTTCACTGCTTGTGGGAGGGGACAGTCCTATGTTCCAATGCCCCTATGTTTTGACGCCCCAATGTTTTGATGCCCCTATGTTCTGACGCCCCTATGTTCTGATGCCCCAATGTTTTGATGCCTCTATGTTCTGACGCCCCAATGTTTTGATGCCCCTATGTTTTGATGCCCCTATGTTCTGACGCCCCAATGTTTTGATGCCTCTATGTTCTGACGCCCCTATGTTCTGACGCCCCAATGTTTTGACGCCCCTATGTTCTGACGCCCCTATGTTCTGATGCCCCAATGTTTTGATGCCCCTATGTTTTGATGCCTCTATGTTCTGACGCCCCAATGTTTTGATGCCCCTATATTCCGATGCCTTAATGTTCTGTCGCCCCTATGCTAAGACACCCCTATGTTTAGACGCCCCAATATTCCTATGTTCTGATGCCCCTATGTTTCGATGCCCCTATGTTCCACATAGGGTTAGGGTTGTCGGACCATAGGTTGTCAGAGCTGTTAGAGGATGAAGCAGTAGAGCTAAGGGGCATCAGAACATTGGGATTGGGACATACATGTAGGGGTGTCAGAACATGGGGGCGTTGGAACATGGACATTGATGATCATTAAAGCATTGGAAAATAGGGGCATTTGAAAGGAGTATCGGAACATAGAGGTGTTGGAACATAGGGGCGTTGGAACATACCGGTAGGAGTGTTGGAACATAAGGGCTTTAGATCATTGGGGCATTGTTACGTAGGTGTGTCAGTGTATTGGAACGTAGAGGTTTTAGTTATCTCCAGGCAGATTCGGTTTGTGGGACGAATGTTGGATACAAGTGACCAACATAAACTCCCCTTGCCCCACCGAATCTGCTTGGAGATCGGAGTTTTAGAACATAGAGGTGTCAGAGCTGGAGTAAGATGTTACCTTACATGAAACATCACAGATACCAAGCTGATTGGCCAGACCTAAACGCGTCAGAGTAGCTATAAAATGTGATTACTAGCGTAGTAACATGACAGTTATGCATGGTTAACAGCACTTCTGTCAAAATTATACATGCATTCGTGTCAAACACTAATCATGCCATAGCCATGTACGTGAAATTATTCTATCTAAAGTTTCAAACTGTAGATAGAGGGGACCAAAAAAATCTTTATGATACAACATACATGCCTCTGTTTGTCATTATGTCAGTGAGCTACAAATGTAGCAATGAGGGAATGTCAAGTAAAAGATGCCCCAAAAAGGTTCATTTTATTCCGACAAAGTACAGTTGCATGTATCTTGGACAAATACTGCACCAAACTCTGTTCCCCTTGCTATTCAATACTCACGTATTTCTGGCTCCTAGCAGCGCCCCAACGCTAGGGGTACTTAATTGATAAATGACCAAATAAAGGGTCGACTTCGGACGTATTTTACTACTAGCCGAGGGTGTGTGTGTAAGTCTTGTTCACATTGATATTGCTGCATATATACACAAATACTCATTTACTAAGAACTAGTAGTAGAAAATTTTTTTAAAAAGTTGTTTTCCTACAAGGAAAGTGTCGTCATGTTTGGTCTAGGCGTGTCCCCGCTTTAGAATCTATCTCAATTTGTTTATCTAATCTTAGCTTTTGTTCTTTGTTGAAAGTTTTCTCACCAATAAAAACGCACGGAAGATACAGAAGAACTAATGAGTGTGCCGACATCTCCAGTTGGCGGAACTTTCTGGGGTCTGCCCAGCAACGTGACTCTCGGACGGAACTAGTCTTAAGTGTGTTGACGTTGGAACAAAGGTTTCCACAACACTCTGTCACTTTTATAGGGGACACTAAAATAAAACCCGATTCGTATGTAGGACAAGTCGTAAATTTGTCACTGGTGATCATCGCTTTACACTTTTTTTTGTCGACCACATTGGACCAGAAGAAGTTTTAAGAAAAGAAGGTACATGATACTAAAATTGGCATTTTTATGATTGGAAAATTATGGTCAAATACTGTTTTAGAAAAAAATACGTAGATTGTCTGACGTATTTTTTAAACACCTGGCAATTATACATTTGTAATGTCTGAAAAGAAGTTATTTGGGGTCTTGGACGTAAAAAAAGAAAGAAAAAAATCTTTGTAAAGTTCCCCTGATGTAATACCAAAGTGGACGAGTCCGGTATACATCATATGTCAGGTACTTAGTCAGACCACCTATTAAAACACCTTAACCCGCACAAGCCGGACGTGCTCGGTTCACAGTAAAGATGCAGCGGTGTTTCCTTCTGAGTCTGGCGACGGCCGTGCTGGTCGTCGCACCGGCCTGTGGATGCCAACCCCCCGGGTGGGCACCCTGGAACATCACGTACCGTGTACAGCAGGCGGAGATGGTGGTGTGGGGTCGCGTGGTGGCCAAACACGGGCTCAAGACACCCCCGGCGACTTCTTACACCGCCGAGGTGGCGTACGGCTGTCACGTCAAAGCGGACACAGCGGCACTAGCCCCCAGGTTCAACATCACGAAGATGGGGCATGAGGGCCCAGGCCAGTGCGTCTCACACGACGTTGACATCGGGTCGTACTATTTCTTCTTCCTGACGTGGGGCGAGGAGGAAGTGTTGGTGCCACAAGACATGAACCTGGAGCCGGGGGTCCTTCCTGATACCACGGAGAACAGACTCGAGTTTTCTCTCTGCTGCGGATTCACATTGTCCGTCTGTCAACCAGATCAACTGACAACCAGCCAACCACTGACCGTCCCTCAGACAACCAACCAACCACAGACCACTTCTCGGACAACCAGCCAACCACAGACCATCCCTGATGGTACCAACCCTGCTGGACCGACCGTTGCCATGACTACGGTGAACGTTTCCATGACGACCCAGAACATGATGACGACGCCGGACATAGCAGTCGGTGGCGCCTCCCGTCTCGGCCTGTCCGGCATCTTGGTTCTTCTGTCGGCCTTGGTTGTGGCAGGACATCTGACGGTCTGAGACAGTAATACCCATTCCATATCTTATAAACAATGTTGATGATAAAATCATGTGGATAATATGGGCTTTGTGACTTTCAAATGTTTTCTTCAAACCTCTGTAATACGCACGTCTATGTCATCCACTACCCAAAAGTTTCAATGTTGAAAATATCAGTTAAAAAAATGAAAAGTCTATCTTTGTAGGGCTTTTATGTCCATTCACGTTAGGTTTACTGGACACCTAACTTTGTTATAGTGTGTTAGCAGCAACATATAGATTTGTGACATGTTTGGTGATCTTCCCTTTAGAGACGTCAGAATTAGACGAATGTTCATATGACTTTTTGTAAATGAGTAAGAATCGCCACATGTTCTCAATGTCAAGTTTTTGTTAGTTATCCGTTTTCATATATACATGTACATTATGAATTAGTGTGGAATAAGTCCATGATGGCTACTGAAGACTTGAGGATGACTTACAAACATTTCAATGATAGACACACAACTTCTATACAACTATGTAATGGCGTGAATGTGTGAGTGAGTGATTGAGTCAGTCAGTCAGTCAGACAGTGAGTGAGTAAAAGTTGCCGAACACTTTTTCTATCTGCCCGACATTGGATACATTATATCGATGAATAGAAATTGATCGGTCTGTCGTAAAGCAAAATTAATTATGGAATGTTACAGGCATACTAATAAAAATAAACTGTTACGAGCTGTTTTGTCGTCGGAAAATGCGTTTTCTTCGCTTTAGACGGTTGTAATATGTGTTAACATTAGTTATCATTTAGTAAAACCTATAGCTAGCTTAACTACGAGATGGCCAGCATGCTGTTAGTGTAGCGACCTTGTTCATTCCTATTTTATTACATGTACCTCCACCATCTCCATAGAAAACGTACAAATGCAAAATAAAAACATAAAAATGTAACTTTTCACACAATGCAACTTTTTTTTTGTTTTGCCACTCTGAAATTGCATTGGACGCCTTTCAATCTCTGAGACGCTGTTATACCGTTTTAGATGGGTATAAAAGACAGGTCGACCTCGACCTACAAATGTACACAGAGTGGTCGCCTTGACTGCAGAGTCAACGGTAAGAAAAACGACCAGAGCTTTGTTGTCCTGAAGCTTTGAAGAGAATTCGCTGACGCAGGTATCAGTGGCAGTTATATGACTGTCATAAAGTTTGGTGGGGGCCGACGGAACAAGAGAAGGCTAGCCGTTTTGCTGACAACACGTCATGGGTAAGGTAACAGCAAGTAATTTTTATGGATGACATCAGAGCACGCATTAATTTTCGCCTGATTTTAGAAAAAAAACAAGACATTTTGTCGCCCTCTGACAGTGATCAACATGCCGAAAATAAGCAAGATGTCTGTTGCCATGCCGGAACGTGGATGGCAGATAAATATGAAGAGAGGAGACATGGCTCTGATTTAATGTTTTGTCTTTTACTTCTATACAGTGATGTATTTCATTCCCTTTGTATGTGATGTTGGCTGTGTATATGTGATGTTCCCACTGAATCAAAACAATTGTTTGTACAATTATTGAAAAATTTTATTTTTCAAAGTTGTTTCAATGCGAAATGAATGTTGTAATAGTTATTAGTAAACTTAGCACAATACAGGTACCATTTCTTGTTTTCATAACAAGGTTTATGATGTTAAAATTTGGAAATTTAGGAATCCTGTTTTTTGGCCCGCCTTGTTTTTTTTTTCGCCCTATCGCATCAGATTTGGAGTCTGTGGACGATGTTATCCATAAAATGTACTTGCTGTGGCCTTATATGATTTGTTGAAATACGTGGGCTGTACCAACCATTCGCTCTGAGACGTGAACTTTAACTGAAGTAGTTTGATAATCTGTCAGACGATAGTCTAATACATTCATTTTTAAGAGATTCTACTTTTCTTTCACCAGCTCATAACACACAAATATTGCTCCATGTACAAACATATTTGTCAGATTCCAATCGGTTTTTGTAATATTTTGGCATGTCTGTCTTGTCAGTATTTGTTCACTTGTTCACGGTTTAATAACGTGCTTTGCTTGTCCTATGCATTATCATTATCAACGATAATGTCCTTGGCATTATGTATTGTGTTATGTTTTGATGGAGGCATGAATAGCTTCCAATAGTAACTTGAGCGTGCCGTTACCATGTTTTGTCAATAAATGTTTCAATAAAAATGTTCAATACATTTTTGTACTGCAGCAGGAACAAGCATCGGTTGAAATAAATATTGTTCTATACTTCATGGAGGTGTGATACTTCAGTTTGTTGTGTTACAATATGTGCCATGATTCTTTCCGACGAATGGTAGGGTTGGCAGTAATGTTATCTGTGTGAACATGCCACAGGGAGGAGGCTTTTGTCAACAAAATTCCACATGGCTGCTTGGAGTCAGAAACATGCTGGTAATTAACAACACTATTATGTCTGATTGACCCCGATGATACATTCTTTGTTATTGGCGAATGTAAAAGGTACATACATAGATAAAATGTAGCAGTGTTGCCGATAGCTACGTGTATGTGCAAGTTGCCAGCTACGAGCGCTCGTATAACGTTATATAAGTTTTAAGCGAGACTTTGCATTTTGTGGCTACGTACCATCGATCGGTGATTGGCCAAAGACCGAAGGAAATGTATATGCAAAAGACGAAGGTCAAGGTCGATTTTGCCTCCTGGTGACTGAGAGTTTTTATATCTTTTGTCCTGGAGATGCCACGGCCTTGATTCTTTTTCTGGCAGGTAGCATTTCATGTCAGGGGAAAAAGTGGCGTAATTTTGGTCCTAGCAGCTTGTTCTGAAACTGCAGGGGGAGTATGTGATTAATCTTATTGTTAATATGTGGCACAATCCTCTGTCAAGTCGGAATACATGTACAGGCTAGGCGCTGTTTGCAGTGATCTTGTAGGAAGCGGTTTGTCATCGCACCGCTAGATGGCGGTAATGTATATACCACTGTGCAGATGCTAGCAGAAGTACTAGTAATTGGGAAGACTGAATATTTGCAGAAAAGTACACCTAAAGCAACTGCTACGATACCCAGACTCGTGAAAGACAACACATGCACTGGTTTAATTTCCTTCAACAACCGTGCTAAAAGCTTTCATCAGTTCACAACATTCAGGCTGACAAATTTCAACTCCTCTCTGCTTTCCACAGTTGTTTGGCCTTGGCTTTGCTAATATGGCCCCAAAAGCTGTCCGCACAATGAAATAATAGTGAACCCTAACACTGGCGTAAGGACGTTTGGCCTTAAGAAGACATTGTGGAATGATACATTCTCGAGTATTTCTAAACTCAAAGTCAGTTTGACAATTCGAGCAATCCTGCCCCAGTATTGTTGTTTTGAGTGCTGTTAGTCAAGTTCTCTAGCTAAAATCGGCAGGATGGGTTTTGAAAATAAGGTTGTCCTGGGCGCACTTCCAGCACTGTTTTTGTTCTCTGCCTGCCTTGCGGAGGGAACTGAGTGCGAGCTAGGCTCGTGCCCGACGAAAATGGGGAACAGTAATGTCAACAACGTCACGGTGATGGCTCCAGCCGGACCGAGGGGCGAAGCCGGGCCGCCTGGACCGAGAGGCGGTCAGGGGGAGAAGGGAGAGACGGGCCGGCCCGGGAAGCTGGGACCACAGGGGCTGGAGGGACAGAAGGGCGAGAAAGGGGATCCAGGACAACCGGCGAATCAAGGTACTAGTACTTAAGCTTCCCTTTATCAATGCATGAATACCTTTATTGTACATACATACCCACTAGGTTAAGTGTAGGTTAGCCTGGGTACCCGTCCAGATTTTTGCTAATTAGCACTAGCACTTATACTATGTTAGTCTAGTTAGTAAATTCGACTTCTTCTCGCTTCTCTGTGTTGTTGAAAATGCATATGTAACAACAGACATGTTTTAGGATCAGAGGGTTGTCCAAGCTCATTAGAAATGTGGATTTTGTAGCATTACTTATAGGTGTATCAAGGACATTATGTCCTTGGGTGTATGAAGTGGAGAAACATTGATGTAAGTTCAACTTTCATTGCTGTACAAACTAAATTCTATTACAAAATGTTCATCTACTATTCTATCTAAATCACAGCACAAATCTTGTTTCACAGTGTGGCATACAGTTGATCAGCAGTTTTAAATTGTGACATCAGTCCTATGTCATTTATTGTCGATATTTAGGTGCTGAGGGTTGGGGCGGCGGAGCTGTCTATATCCGATGGGGGCGGACAGCGTGTAACGAGAGTGCGGGCACGGTAACGGCGTACACCGGCCTGGCCGGCGGGGCGCTGTGGAGCGAGAAGGGCGGAGGGAGCAACTACCAGTGCCTCCCCGCAGATCCAGAGTGGGGGGTGTACAAAGACGGAGTTGACGGGTTGAAGGCCTACATGTACGGCGCGGAGTACCAACTCAACACGGACGCGCCTTACGACGAGGCTACGGTGGACGACCGGGAAGTTCCGTGTGCGGTGTGTAATAAGTAGGGTCTAGCGGGTTTGGTATCTACGTAGCTACGTAAACGAGGATCCAAACAGTTCGCTTACTTCTGCGAAGCCGTGTTTATTAACCCGCACTATGTTAACTCTACTAACAGGTATATGCCCTAATGGTTCACAGGGACTTTAACATAGTTACACAGAGAGTTACCAGAGGTCTAGGATACAATACAGATGAGATACTAGTATCATACTACGTATACAGGTCTACAGAAAGCTACGACTAAACATGTACACGTACCTGAGTCCTGGGTCATTTTTAGATTTTCATTGTCACTTTCAAGCTCAGCTATGCTAACAATAGTTCTTCACTGGTACCTAGGAGTACCTAACGCGCTAATACAGTATATGCAAACATGTCTTTCCATTTGATCACCTACAAATTACCATAATCACTAAAACCATAACCGTTACAGGTGTGCTACAGCCTCTCTCGCCGGGCTCAGATGATGATCCCCGCCCGCAACACCTGCCCGGACGGCTGGACACGGGAGTACGGAGGCTACCTGATGGCGGGGTACCGCGACCAGGCCGGCCGGAGCAAGTTCGTGTGCATGGACGGGGAGCCCGAGGTGCTGCCCGGCGGGGAGGGGAACCAGAGCGGGGCGCTGTTCTACCCCGTGGAGGCCCGCTGCGGCTCGCTGCCCTGTCCGCCGTACGTGGAGGGGAGGGAACTGACGTGCGTCGTCTGCACAATATAGCAGCACGTACTGCACCGGCACGAACTGTAAACGTGAATAGCACTTATGCAAAACGTCTCGTTGACGGCCGTATTTGCTTATTTTAGGATTATAATTCCGTCTGTATTATTACTAGTAGTTTGACATCACTTTTGATGAAAAAATCCCAAAAGAAATCATTCTAACATGTGCAACTAGAAGTATGAAAAGGAGGTTTAAAGTCATCTAAAATACCTTGCTTTACTATGTTGTGCCTTATTCGTAAAAAAACGTCGTAAACAAATATTGTAAACACTATGTAGAGAACTGGGTTTAAAACTGCGTTTCTGCAAATAGAATGTGTTTCAACGGAAACAATTCTTGTTTGATAATTATGAACTATCATTAACAGACAACTGTTCAGATCAATTAAGATTTACCCATAATTGCTGCCCTGTATCATTATTGCGTGCCTTCCTTAGGGCAAGGACATTATGTCCTTGCTTAGGGTAAAACTTCACATGGAAAACAACAAAAGAACACAAAACCACCAAAACCTGCTTTTACAATAAAGAGTATGTTAATTGGATATTGCAAAACGGATAGGATAGCACCCAGGCTAGCTATTAAAACGCAGCCTCTGTCCTATTCACTTTACGTAACTGTATACCGCCGCCGTGTTCTGACGTCATAGTCCGCTTATGCAAGCAAAGAAGGCCAGGCTGTCATGGCGGTTCTCCAAACACTGTTGACGGGCCACAACATTACAGCACTACTGATCGCCGCTGTAGCGTTTCTCGTATCCTTAGCGTTATTTTCGAGGTTCAGGGGAAGGAGAGGGAGGGGGGCCAACCTCCCGCCGGGGCCACCGGCATGGCCCGTGCTCGGGAACCTGCCCAGTCTGGCCCGGAACCCGCACCTTCAGCTGACGGCCTGGCGCGGTACTTATGGGGACGTCTTCAGCGTGAAGATGGGGCTACAGGACGCCGTGGTGGTCAGCGGGAAGGACGCTATCAGGGAGGCCCTGGTCAAGAAGGCCGAGCATTTCTCCAGTAGACCAGACCTGTTCCTGATGCGCCGCAACAAGCAGCAAAACGGTAACATGATATGGGCTATCGTAACGGTTGACCCAATTATTGAGCTTACACCTGTATATAACGTCCTCGGTTGACCATTAGATTACATGGAATTGAGCGGATTAGATCTTTGGTGTACATATTTTGATATATATATTTTTTAATGAAGGACACTGAAGAGTAAGAAAATTTCTCATCCATACGTATTTATGGATTTCATAACGCTATTATGTTATGCCTCTCACTCAATAGGATAATAGGAATATGGCAGATACCATTGGTGGAGAAGGGAGAACTATAGCCGTGGCGACTCTTGACTCGGGCTTACATTGCATTACCCTCAGCAAGAGTCGTGGAAAGATCCATTGGCAGAACTGCACATTTCCCGTTGGCTGCTCGATGCTCCGTTTTTGACCCGGTTTTTTGCTGTCCCGAGCTTCCCTACAATATAACTCCACAATTGGCCGGGTTGCCGATGTTCAGATCGGCCTAAATATTCCACAGCGCGACGGGAAAGTACTAAAATAGCTAGTCGGTACATCCGCGCCGCCATTTTGGATATAGTCCGGAATGTCCGCTACCGCCGTCGGGAACGCTCGGTAGGCTTTCCGGTTATGATCGGAGAGTTTTCGGTCCCGCTTCGGTAATCGTGGCGCTACCGAGCGTTCCCGACGGCGGTAGCGGACATTCCCGACTATATCCAAGATGGCGGCGCGGATGTACCGACTAGCTATTTTAGTACTTTCCCGTCGCGCTGTGGAATATTTAGGCCGATCTGAACATCGGCAACCCGGCCAATTGTGGAGTTATATTGTAGGGAAGCTCGGGACAGCAAAAAACCGGGTCAAAAACGGAGCATCGAGCAGCCAACGGGAAATGTGCAGTTCTGCCAATGGATCTTTCCACGACTCTTGCTGAGGGTAATGCAATGTAAGCCTGAGTCAAGAGTCGCCACGGCTAGGAGAACTAACGCTAAATAGACTTTAACACCTCGATCGATTATGGAAATGTATAATTTTTAAAATCTAAATCCCTTTGTGAGACCTGAATATAATTAGAATTTGGGCTCCTTAGCGAGTACCGGAAATTCCGGTTTTGATATCTCGTGATCTGGACATGCTGGGTCACGAAATGTGGATCATCCTGGTAGATAGGTTTTCAATGTACTAGGGAAGAAGTGACGCAGACCTGAAGTGACGCGAGTTTGGTGGTGCCACAAAATTAGTGGGCTGTGGGCTTGGTTTTTGCGCCAACCATACATGTCAGAAACGTAAGATAATGCGGCACAAATATGTTGCAAACTGATAGTAGATCACACGGATTTTTTCATGAAAATATTTCAATTCTTGTGCAAAAAAGTTACATAATGCTCCTTTAACGGTACCATGCCCGAGGTCCTATTTTAATTTACAAATTCTTCACCATCGTTTTATGCAGGGCTTGTCATGTCTCCGTACGGTGACCGGTGGAAGATCCTCCGCCGATTCAGCATGTCCACGCTCCGGTCCTTCGGGATGGGCACGGGCATCCTGGAGGAAAAGATCGACACGGAGTGCCGCCACTTCTGCACCGAACTGGAAACAAAGTCCGGTGAGCCTTTCGACTTCACCCACCTTCTCCACAACGCAGTGTCTAACATCATGTGCTCCATGGCTCTGGGCAAGCGGTTCGAGTACGGAGACCCCCTGTTCCTCCGCCTGATGGAGATCTCGGAGCGGGGCGTCGAGCTCTTCGTCACCGCTCACGTCTTCAACATCTACCCGGTGCTTCGCTTCTTTCCCGTGGTACGAAAACAGTACAAGGAGTGGATGGATCTCTCGGAAGAGAGTATAGAGTGTTTCATGAACTTCATTGCACAGCATGAGGACGGGGAGAGACAAGAGAAGGCGCGTGATGTGATCGAAGCGTTCCGAGCAAAGTTGGAGGACGACCCGGGGTCTTTGCCGGACGACAGCCTCCCGCATCTGCTCGGAGACCTGTTTGTTGCCGGGATGGAGACGACCGCTAACACGTTACGCTGGGGTCTGCTGTACCTCGCGACGCATCCCGACGTGCAGGCGAAGGTTCAGGCCGAGTTGGACCGAGTGGTGGGGCGGGAGCGTCCTCCGGCCGTCAGCGACAAGCCCGACCTCCCCTACACGGAGGCAACCATCCTGGAGTTCCAGCGCGTCCGCACGGTGGTGCCCCTGAACCTCCCGCACTGCACGACCGCGGACACCACCCTCCTCGGCTACGACATCCCCGCGGGCACGGACGTGCTCGTCAACCTGTGGTCCCTGCACATGGACCCCGCCCACTGGGACAACCCCGACACGTTCGACCCCAGCAGGTTCCTAGACGACAACGGGCAACTGCAGTTAAACGACTCTTTCATGCCTTTCTCTACAGGTAATTGTAACAAATTTTAGCACATGTTACGAGTAATGAAATCCTAGTATGGAAAATGCATGTATTATTCATGCAAATAAGACCATGTTTTGTATGATTTGCATGTAATTACGTACATCTCTTCCCAAAATCATGGACATCCGTCCTTCCTATCCCCTGATTGATTCTTATTAGGGGAATAATAAAAAAATATTTTTTGCAGTACTGTTTGGGGCTCAGTTCTACACCTTTTTCTGACGTCAAAAAACATGTGCCACCCCAAAATCAAGACCATAGCGTAACCAATACAATATATACTAAAACCTGAAGTTCTGCTGCACCAAGGACAGCTGCCAGGGGGCTGAAAACCGACCTTAATCTTCCCATGACCTACCCACTTGTCAAATATTACACTCCATGAAGACCTTCTAAAGTTATGCTAACAATGATTATGTGGAAACACAGACACACACACACACACACAGACACACTAAAACAATACTTCCGTTTTGCCTTTTGGACGTAACAATACCTCTCTTTTCATTGTGGTAATAAAAACTCAATGTAGAGAAATAGACAAAATCTTTTTTTTTTTCTCGTCTTCCTCTGCAGGTCGCCGAGTATGTCTCGGCGAACAACTGGCCAAGATGGAGTTGTTCCTGTTTCTAACCAACATGTTACAGCGGTTCACCTTCACTCTGCCAGAGGGCGCTCGACCAAACTTTGACGGTATCCTTGGAGTGACGCTTCGACCACAACCGTACGAACTCATAGCAACACGTCGTGAATGACTGTGACGAATTAGACAGACACATGAATTTAGAATATCTTAGCTTGCCGTTATCTACAGACAATTGGTGAAAGAACGTTTGAACATACATATCAGTTAGTCTTCTCTTCAACAATGTACATATACTCTTGTTGTCTAATGTACAGTGGTTAGTGTTCCATAAAAATTACTTACTTGATTGTAAAAGCAATTAGCCTTCGGGCATGATTTTGCGAACAAAGTTTCTTTGTAAGATCTACTACAACTATACATTAAAACAAACGGGTAGATACAAATGAATTAACCTACTTGCAAGTATATGTATATGAATAAATCACTTTTATTATGATTACGTATGACTTATACTACTGGTTGTAAGGTCTAAATATTATTTTAAATATTTACCTTTTTGTATATGGTAAGGGTTATGTCCTAGAATGTAATTGGGTTTATCTGTTGGATGTAGTGTTTAAAATTCTGATGAGGAAGCGGAAATAAAGTTTTGTGTGTTTATTATCATATTGTGAACAATTTGTACCCGACCAACTCATGCAAAAGCATTGCTTTAAATGCTACACACTGAAGCATTATTTGTCTATAGGTATGTTGTTTCAAACCGGGAAGAGCTTGCATCTACACTGTCTCATCTATCCTGGATACTAATTTGGAGATATTAGACAACGAAGACGTTCATATACATTGCACATGTATGGCGGGGGCGCAAACACATCCGCAAATATACGCACTACCAAAAGGGGGCGGAATTTCTCTATATACTCATGTCATTGCTCACCAGTAATATACCAAATTTACTTAGTAAAATAATCATAAAGGAAAGAATGAAAACAAGCTGGACATACTAGTATTGTGTAAATCACATTTATTTTGTTGCACTTCCATCCAGATTCAAGTTAAGGAAACAACTTCACGGCTAAAATACATTATAAAAGTACACATGGCTTTTAAAAACATTAGAAACCACAAAAGAGGATGACTTGGCTACGCTGATCTGAATAATAGTGAGATTTTCTTGTGTAATTCCATGATACATGTTGATTAGGACATTTCTTTATCTATTGATCTACATGAAAAGGTACAGGACACACTGATGTGCAACTCTAGCGACAGCTAATATTAGGACCATAAAAAAGACATACAAAAAGCACATTGCATTGATAGAAGCATCTTCGACATAACATACTTATACAAGTCTCTTGTCTGGTTATAACAAGTACTAGTAACTCCCTGCGAACAGGTGAATAACCCTTCATATGAAAAAGCTAGTGTCCTGGTAAACGTAACCAACTTACCTATACCTTACCTACACCATATTGGCCTGTTGCTTAACACACAAAAAGAAAACATGTCCCTGACAATCATTTGATAGTCATTGTCATGAAGTGCATTGCATTGATAGACGCATCGTCTACATAATATACTGATATATGTTTATATATAACAGTCACAGTAATGTTGCCTTGCTCATCAAGTCTCTTGTTTAGTTGCTTACTTCCCCTATACCTTGCATTGGCCTGTTGCTTAACACACAAAAAGAAAACATGTCCCTGACAATCATTTGATAGTCATTGTCATGAAGTGCATTGCATTGATAGAAGCATCGTCTACATAATATACTGATATATGTTTATATATAATAGACACAGTAATGTTGCCTTGCTCATCAAGTCTCTTGTTTAGTTGCTTACTTCCCCTATACCTTGCATTGGCCTGTTGCTTAACACACACAAAAAAACAAAAAGAAAACATGTCCCTGACAATCATTTGATAGTCATTGTCATGAAGTGCATTGCATTGATAGAAGCATCGTCCACCTAATATACCGATATATATTTATATATAACAGACACAGTAATGTTGCCTTGCTCATCAAGTCTCTTGTTTAGTTGCTTTTGTCTATAAATTAACTCCCTACACACAGGTAAATAATCCTTCATATAAAAAGAGATCTGGTAGACGTAACCAACTTGCCCTGCCCTATACATTGCATTGGTCTGTTGCTTTGCACACATGGAGGGAAGAGTTCGATTTGTTTTTGCTTTGTTACTGGGAAGAGTCCCTTAACTCAGTGTTGTTGAAGGTCGTGTTTAAACTCATGCTAGCCTGCCTAGCTACATCCGCTACATATATACAAATCTCTCTGTGCACATCTCTCAAATCTCCCAATCATTTGATGAATTTCACAATGAATACTCAAATTCAGTTACAGACGCTTGCCTTCTTATGCGTCTGTTTGACGAACAGCCAAGATCCGACGGGCGATGTATAGGAACGTTTACTTTGTACACAAATCCCTCTGTATTCACTGTATTTATAGATCTTTATCTATACACACAATCAATTTCCGATTTAAAAAATACTTGATTATAATTTGACACACATACAAATCCCCCTGTATTCACTGTATTTATGTATCTTTATCTATACACACAATCAATTTTCGATATAAAAAATACTTGATTATAATTTGACACACATACAAATCAATCTGTATTTACTGTATTTATGTATCTTTATCTAGACACACAATCAATTTTCGATATAAAAAATACTTGATTATAATTTGACATTAGACATGTTGTATTGCACCAAACATGACTAGGAGGAATGTTAAGTTACATTGAATGACATTTTACCATAGTCCATGTTTGCATCACACTCTTCCCTCATGGTAAAAATGGAAGCTGGGGTTTTCCAAATCATATTTGGCCTGTCAGTACGCAAACATAGGCACAGGGATCATTTGTACCTGCTTTGCAGCCAGACAGAAGTGTATAAAATGTTTAGCCATCTAACCATGGCCTTTTTAACGGGTCTGAAAAAGGTTACACTATCCACACAAGGTTTCCGTACCTACTAGTCTTTTTATATGGAACCTGCTGCGATTTGTTTGTCTTTCCTGGCATTTTGTAGCAGTGATTCCTAAAATCTAAAGTACCAAGAGCTGTGTAGACAAGGGATGGAGAGCGATGTGCCTCCCTGTTGAAGTAGGGACGAGAGGTTTCATCTGCCAGTCAACATGGAGGATGTTAGGAGCGGTAGGGGTGAAGGGCAGAAGAATGAGAAAAGTGGCAAAGAGTACCACAGAGGAGGCAAAGAAAGCATCCCATTGGCTCTGGGCCAAGAGCACAGACAGAGAGTGGAACACCCTTGGCCATCAGTGTTTGGCCATCACTGCTGCCCCGCCTTACGGAGTGGGTCCTGCTATAGGGGTCGAAACCCTCAAGGACAGAAGGAAAGCATCTGATGAAGCCGAGGAGCTGTTTCTCATACTGCAGTACTGTGTTAGGTACGAAAGGTTTACTATATTTAGCCCGATCAGAATTCAACGTTTCTTTAAATGGCACTGATGATTGATGTTGCAAGAAATGACTCCAAGAGTATCACTGAGGTACAATTTTTATCTGTTCCATCGAAACACTCGTTTCTGGGTTCGCGGTCAGATTCAATTGACTTTCAGTGTTGCCCTTGTTTTTCTGTCTGTTTTCCTCTCTTAAATGATCAAGCCAGACTCTCATGTTGTCAGTCATCAGTGGGTTTTCGTTTCTGCCCTGCTGCTGCAGCTGCAGCACGACGCCGTTTTCCGTGCTGCGGTTGGAGGTGCTGGGATGGCCGGCCTGGGCCTCGTCACTCCTGTTCTCCTTCAGGTTGGCCGCTCCTTGCGGGCCCAGACAGGACAGCATCACGGGCAGAAAGACGATACCGTGCACAAGGCCGAACGCAATGACCAAGAAAACCGTCTTGAAAAAGGTACGCAAGCCGTAGGAAGGCGCCGTGCTCAGCGCAGCTATACCCAGAATGGTCGACAGCGACCCCTGGAGAATCGGCACGCCTAGGCTGTACAGCGCGTGGACGGCCCTGGCGTTACGGCCGCTGCCCTTCGCCGTGACGAAGGAGTAGACGATGTGGGCCGAAAAGTCGACGGAGAACCCGATGCACATGATTATGTTGATCATGGACACGCTGTCCAGGTTCACGTCCCAGAGCGTCATGAAGCCGAGCACCCCCGTACAGATGGACGTGATGGCGAGGGTGACCCAGACGGCATTGATGGGATGGGGCATGAGGAAGAGGGACACCACCAACATGGCGGCCGTGGCTATACCCAAGTTTTGCAAGGTGTTGGGCAGAATGGCGACGTACTGATCGTAATAAACGAACGCTGGGTGGTATACTAGTGCTTCTACGAATGCCTCAGATGCCAATTCCCTCATCTTCAGCATCATGTTTTTCTCCTTTTGGGTCCCGTCAATTTGCTTTGTCTGGACGAAAAACCGACTGGCTATGATTTCAGTGCCGTTTTCGTTGAACAATATGTCATGGGCATATCTCTTAAATTCAGATATATCAAGAAATCGGTCTCTGAGGCACTCTACGAAGGACGTTTTGTTAGCTGGGTCCAGTGGTGGTAGATAAGGGTTGTAGAGGCAGATCATGTCTGCATATGCCAAGTAATCACGTAGCCATGATTCAGACTCGTTTTTGCCATAAGTGAACTCAGTGTCCTCAAACCCAGCTAACATGTTCTCCACCCGATCCTGTACGTCAGGGTCCCAGTAGTCTAGTTCTTCTTTCACGACCACGGCGACCCTGGCGTCGTATTCGCTGAAGTAGCGGTCGTCCTGCTCAAGGTAGCGGGCGACGTACGAGGCGTCTCCCGCCAGCTTACTGAGCTGGACGCCCTGCCTCAGCTGGACGCACCCCCAAACCGCGACGCCCAGGTACCCGAGAAACACAATCATGACAGCTACCTTAACCCACACGTTTGTCATGAAAGGCCCGTAGCACTTTTTGAAGAACAGCATGATGAGGTGGTCGTTGTGATCCTCGCCGTCCTGCTCGACTCCCGCCTTTGCGTCGGCCCTGCAGCACGACTGCTGGCAGCAGCCGGCCTGGTCGTCTTCTGACGGAAGGGGCACCGTCATGCACGTCAGGAAATGTCGGTTCTGTTTCTCTCGGTGACCGTCATATATCATACACGCCCCGAAGAAATTCAGCTGAAACAAGTACGCAAACACTATAGCTATCCCGCTATACATACAGAAAACGCGGACCCCCAGGAAGCTGGTGATGGCTCCCACCGCGAAGGCCAAGGCGTTGGTCAGGGTCGTGATGGTGATGGACACCCCGGCCTCCGCGTAGGTGTTGGCCGACCGCTCCTCCACGCTGTCCCACGGGTTGGTCTTCCTCCACGCCGCCAGCAGGATGAACATGTTGTCCACACCCACACCTGAGTGGGTGTAGAAAGGGTGGAAACACGTTATTAGTGCGAATATTGTTATGTATGACGATATATATGAAATTGCGTCTACCTTATCGCTAACGCTACAAAACATATTGTAGGTGCCGAGTCTCTTTCGTCCTCCCTACAAATATTTGCGGACGAAAGAGGCTCGGCGGCTAAAATATGTTTTGTAACCTAGGTTACAACGTAAAATAGGTATGTAATATAACCTAGGCTAAACAA